GCAGGAGACAGCGAATCACGAACACGAAACGAAAGAAATTCAAACAGAGAGCCAAAATTCAACACCGACTAGAACCGGCATATGTTAATGAGATCACACCTGTATACGCCACCACCACCGCGCAGTGTGCATGTCACAATAGCCACACTCTTCTATCTCTCTGGTCGCCGTATCGACGACGGTGAAGTGTTTCACCGGCGCGAAGACTATACTGCTCGCAAAATCTGGCCAGGTGTACAAGTCACGCAAGACCTCAAGAGAGTCACACGTGTACATCTCGAGCTTCTCGCCACCAAGCTGGTACACGTGCCGTACGAAGTCGGGCCGGGGCGGAAGTTGGTCGTCTATAATCTTGTGTAGCTGGCGGGTCGTGCGGTATTGCAGGTTGAGGATATTGGCGAACTGAGGAGGTAAGTTAATGGCAGAACTTCCGGTATGTGGACATTCACGCACCGTATCAATCTTGAGCAAGGCCATCAACGCATTAGAGCCGATGCTGTGCATCTTCGCCCACTCTGCGATGTCCCAATCCATCTTGCTGGCAAACGGGTAACACGTATTGGGTGATAACTCGTTCCCCGGAAGGAATGCTTCGTACTCAGCGTAGGGCTCGCTTGCTCCCTCATCGCCATTGAGCACCTCTCCCGCTCGCCCGCCATAGAGCTCGCTGCGGCGCCTGGGCGGCGGCGGTGGTGGCTGCTGCTCTTCTTCCAGTTCCGGTTCCGATTCATCTTTGGGAGGTGGCGGTTGAAGTTTGTCGTCTGGTGGCGGTTGGAGTTTGTTGTCTGGTTGCGGACAAGGCTCGTCGTCAAGGGGTTCAGACGGCGGTGGCGGCCCGTTGTTGATGTTATCGTGCAAGCCCAGGAAACTGAGCATATGCTGCAGGACATCGGCATCACCATTGCCACCGCCGTGTTCTGCCAACATCTCATCATCAACATCGTCATCACCCTCCTCCTCCTCTTCCTCCTCCTCCTCCTCCTCCACCACTACCCAACTCCCAACCCAACCCCCTCTACGCGCTAGCGCCTCGTCTTCATCACCCCAGCCAAGGGGGTCTTCTTCCTGATTGCCCTCCTCCCCTGCAGGCGGCAACACGATATCCACAGGAAGCGGTGCAGCACTTGACTCGTGATGGTGGTCGACATCCATATGTTCTGGAGGCGGCGGAGGCACTTGGTCGATGTCCATGGGGTGATCCACACCATCGGGAAGCGGGTTGGGAGGTGTATCGGCGTGTGATGGACCTGCTTGAGGAGGGAGAGGTACCTGGGGAGGCGCGGCATTCTTGTCCCGAGTGTGCTGCTCTAGACGTCGCCTGTCTGCGGCGGGATCCGGTTTGCAGTTGGGCTTCTTGCTCATCATGCGATGTGAGGCAAGGTGCCCCGCCCGACGGAAACCAGTGTCACAACCGGGACAGAAGTAGTGATCACCTTCATGCACTTTCAGACCTGTGATTTAGATGTCAGTACTCGAAAAGCATCTTGATACAATATTTATGGACCTACTGTTCGAGTTCCCCCAAGCACGGCGATGCGCACTTCGATGGTCGAGTTGTTGGTCATACCGGCAAGGTCAAGTTGCTGGAACGGATGGAGCCGGACCGGAAGGCCGCCATCACCGCGGGAAAGCAGCATGTACAACCCTAGGCGTGTACCATCCGACCGCTTTGGTACGAGGTGGCGGCGTTGAAGCTCGTGGAGCACCCAACCAGTGGTCTCGTGGAGGGGGATGCGCAACAGGACACCCTTTTGCGATACGCCCAGTATGAAGACGTTGGCCATGGGGTGATGGAGCTGAGCGCGGGTGAGTACCCGTCTCGGCAGGGCAGGCAGTCTCCAGTTGCCTCCGTGCCAAACTAATATTATCCAAAGCGTCGAGATGGCCAGGAACTCGATGTAGAGGAGAGAGCGCGCACCCGGGAGGTAGGAAAGCACCCTACTCAGCCATAGGGCTGAGATTTCCCAAGGCAATGCTGCAATGATGGACCAGACTACGCCTGCTACTGGCACCAGCTGACCGCAAAGTGAGAGCAGTAGTAGCTGCCCGTTGAGCGTCCACATTGGTCGAAGGCAAAGCCGTACGGAGCCCGGATCCGATCGGTCGTTTGATTGGAGGCCAGAGTGAGCGTCGCGCATGGTGCTGTTACCTGGCGGAAGTAGTTTTCAGGGCGATAATGGCCTGAAAAAGTGCGGAGCCTGCATAAAAGGGCGGATATGGTGTCAATATTGTCTAAACAGTACAGAAAGTGCGGCTCTGTACCTGCGGGAGGATGCGGGAACATCCCAATCGTTCAACAACTTGATTTTTCTTCGACGCCCTTTGCCCCCGACGCCCACTACCCCCGAGGCCGTCATGGTTCACACCTGTAACAGCAAAGCCAGCGCCGACACATCTCAAGCGGTACCGGTGCCGAAGGCAGTCGTCGCTAAGCCCGCTGCCACTGCCGCCGCCTCCAAGAGCCCCGCTGCCTCTTCTCACAAGTGTGCCCTCTCTGGCCCCAACGAGAGTAGTCAGCCCGCCAAGAAAAAGCAGCCTGTCACCGCTGAGGAGAGCAGCTCGGAGGACGAGTTTGTTCACGCCCCGCCTCAGATTCAGCGTCCCAAGAAGTGTATCACCGCCGACAGCACTGACGACGAGGATGAGCCCATGCCTGAGGTCAAGGACGACGACGACGAAGAGGTGCCCGTTGAGAATGACGAGTTCGAGCTTGACACCGAGCAGCCTGGTTCGAGCAAGACGTTGTCGACGGAGGCGCCGGAGCCGGGTCGCACCAAGACCTACCTCAAGTTGAAGAAACTCCTAGGCAATGCTGTAAGTAACTCTCTTATACTACGGGTGAATGACCGACACTAACCTCCACGTGTAGAAGGCCGACAAGGTTGGGACGTCGCTGGTCCTTAGGCCTGGTGGCAAGGAGCCCCCGAAGCGTCCCCTCGTGCCCGTCGAATGGTACAGGCAGAAGATGCACGAGAAGAAGGCCTTCGTATCCTCTTCCGAGGATGAAGCCGAGGGCGCTGTAGCCAACAAGTCAGCCTCTGCGCCAGCGGTATCAAAGGTGAAGTTGCGGCTTACCTCACCACTTGCGCTTTTGTTAACGACCGCTTAAGGGCAAGGTGCGCGAGGTCGTCCAGCCTGACGCCAAGTCGGACGGCAATATTGTCCAGGCCAGCAAGGACGAGGAAGATGAGGAGGACGTCCCTCTCCCTGTACAGAAGCCCAAGTGTAAGCTTCCGCCGTTGTGGACTGTGAACGAGACAAAGGTGAGAATAGTGATGCTTACCTGATAACGATCGTAACTGATCGTCCCCCAGGTGCCGTCGAACTCGGTGTCTACCAAGGTAAGCTGCACATTCCGTATGTGCATGATGTGGCGGTCACCCGGCGGGCATACCCTCCCTGGTTAAAACCGCAGGAGGGCGATGCGCCGTTATCCGGTACCGCGAGCCGGCGCCGTTGAAGTCGATGGTGCCGGGCTTGGTGGGGCTGAAATCCGTGAGGTGACCGGCTCCCGCCGGGCATACCCTCCCTGGTTAGAACCGGGGAAGGGCGATGCACTATTGTACGGGGCCGCTGTGTACCTGCAGTGCGCCGTTGTTAGTGGTGGTAGCGGTTGGAGGAAGAAGAGTGCGCCACGCGGCAGAGTTGCGTGTGCCTAAGGCACTTGACACGCTTCAACGCCACAACTCGACTTCTTCCTTCTCACCATTACCTTCCTCCTCCTCTTTGCCACCGCCCTTCTCTGCCGCCACCATGCCCACTCCGCCGCAACTGGCAATGACCACGGCTTGCCACTACCCAACTTACCGCGCCTCGGCGCCCTTTACGTTGTGATGCCCCCGGTTTTAACCAGATTGTACAATGAGGGGTGTTGGGGGATCACCATACACCCGTCGCGGTAGCCCTACCACCTGGCCAACGTCAAGTCACCATCCAACGGCAACCTCAGGGCGGCGGCGGACTTCCTGGGCATCGCGGGAGAATAAGCGCTGACTGGGCGCTTTCAGATCACTGGCGGCACGCCCAAGGTTAGCGCTACGCCCAAGATCAAGGCGGCGCCGGCGGTCATCAAGAAGACCACACCCGACGTCAAGATAGCTGCGGTGCGCCAGGTGCGTACCTTTGAACGATCTTGGTGAACAAAACTGGCTGATGCTCTGTCTAGCCGCTCAAGCTCAAGGTGCCAAAGAAGAGGAAGCCGGACTATATCGAGATTGTGAGCGCAGCTTGCTACTCACGTTACACACGTTGTTTATTCGTATTGTAGCACGACTTCTCCAATGAGGCTGACAAGGTGCGCTTGCATGCTGTCTATTATTTAACATTGCTTGCTTACGCCTTGATCCAGGACGCGGGTGACAACAACGATGACAAACCTGTAGTCCAGTCTCCCAAAGTCGTCACCCAAATCAAGACACAAAAACAGGAACAATACGAAATCCTTGTTAGCTTCGAGGAGTTCTGGGGTCCCGAGTTGCGGTTGACCTAAAATCCCAAAATGCTTCGGGTCGACGACTTGGGCAAGCAGTCATTGCCTCTTATCAGGAAGTGGCTCAGCAACTCCGGTCTTTACATGCTCACCCGTGCCCACCTCGTCGAGCCCGACACGGCCTTTCCTGGCCATGAGGCGGGTGTTGACTTGTTCCATAGCAAGATCGCCAAGCCGGCCCTCGAATACACCCTCCAGCAAGGGGGTAAGAAGTTGAAGGACATCAAGAAACGGTTTGGGACTGACGCCGGCTTCAAGGACGCGACCACGAGCTACATAGGTGCCTCAACTTACACACCTACACGCTATATTGACTATGTCGCTTCCGGCAGATCTCAAAACACCGCGCAAACACGCGCAGCGTTTGCGCGGAGATATCGCGCCAGTTGTTACCTCAGGCATACCCCGCTCTCGCTAAGGCAATTGCCTCCAATGATCCCGACGACACAACCTATGTCATCAACAGAGTCATTGTGCTGACCAAGGAGAACGACTTCCTGTATCCGGGCAAGCTGGAGGTATGTACATCTCCGTGCTTCCGCTCGACTACGCTCATCCGAGGCAACAGTGCGTGGCACCCAACAATCCGCAAGACACGCGCATGCAATACAAGATCGAGAAGAACATAGCGTTCATCACTGCTCCGATGATCGAACTCACGGCTAATCTGATTTTCGGCGCCCACCCGCAGGGCATCTCACTGCTGGACTCTAATTTCCCCAACGCTACTTACCTCAGGATGAACGATGAGAACGAGGGTCGTAAGGAGATCGGCCTCACTGCCGCCGCTTTCGTGGCAATGATGGTCAGTATCTTCCCCAGCTACGAGAACCGAATCGCGCGCTGATACAACGAGTAGCTTGAGATCGCCATCAAGGATTATACCTCTGGGAAAAAGGCGCCCATCATGCTCAGGGACGACACACTTTGCCACGCGTTCGACACCCATATGGAGATGTTAAAGGAGAATCGGAATATCTCGTTGATGTGGATGCAGGAGCTATACGACCAAGCTAGGTAAGTGCCGACTACAGTCGACTCTGTCTTAACCCATAGCTGCGGTAACCCATATTCTGTAATACCCCATAGTGTTTGGCCGCCCACGGACATGGTAGGCTGTAAGAACCCATAACATTCTTATACCCCATAACACATAGCCCATAGGTAGGTTAGTAATCCATACTTTAATTTCAAAAATATTCAAAAAGCTCCGAAAATACCATAGTGTCATAGAGTAGTGTACCCCCCTATGCTTTGTACTATATACAGTATGTATGTGAGCTCTGTGAGCAAATGTGACACTCATTTTATGCACTTAAGAAATGTGGTGTGCTTTAGAAGAACAACCACATTGACCTTGAGGAGCTTGTCAACTGTCAAGGCGACACAAGGGTGAGAGCCAGGACCACTCAGAGTAAGCAGGTAAGGGTAAGCAAACAAGTGGGAGAGCAATCAGGATGTGGAGGGCAGACCACACTTGATCT